GCGAACTGAAGACTGCAGTTTAATAGATAAAATCAACTGATGATATGAACATTCTGTCAAATTTGCTACTTTTTAGCTTTTGAAGCACATTAGAAGACTCCCAACAAGGAACATCCCATTTGGAGTTGCAAAATTTGGCACCCAGAATTTGTGGGGTTTGAATATTTTTGTGGTAACAGTTGTTACCATTGGGATGGTGTGCTGTGGAGTAAGTTCTGACTCATAGCAACCCTGCATAGGGTTTCAGAGGCTGTAAATCTTTATAGGTGCAGAAAGCCGTATTTTCCTCCCACAGAGTGATTGGTAGTTTCCAACTGCTAACTGTTAGCACCCAGTTTGTAATCTACTATTCTACCAGGGCTCCTGTGGTACATTGTTATTGTTGTTAAGTGCCAGTGAGTTGGTTCTGACTCATAGCAACCCTGTATCGGGTTTTTGAGGAGCTGTTGGTAGGTTTGAGCCGTGACCTTTTGGTTAGCAATTCAGTGCTTATCCTATAGCATCACACCAAAAGTCCTTAGTACATAGTAGGTAGCCAATAAATACTCATTGAGTTGATAGATAAGGTGCTCCAAAGAGAAAGTGAAGAAAGGAGGTGAATGGATAAATGGCACTGCCAGGGACAAAGTTGATCTCACTGGATCTGGCCCACAGACAGTTGCTGACAGTGAATTCTTAGGCTGAGAAGAGATGATATTGGGTATTTGCTCTGGTTGCTCTGAGAAATCACAGAGGGTTTACAGGAGGCAGAGTATGGATGTTTGAAGTTTCCTGCTAAGAGGAACTGTACAACATAAACGGAGCTCACTCAGGAGGACATGAGGGGATCCTATGATTGAGAGACCAAAGTTCTTATTTACAGGTTTCTGGAAAGTTATATAGTAACTTGAGGTTTTCCAGAGATGGTTGAATTGAGTCTGAATCTAATGCGATCTAGTAATACTTTGGAACTATTAACATAGCTTTCTCCTTGGGCATGCTGGCAGAGACCTGGACTGACCCCTCACAGAAGGCCCCCAGGCAATGTTTGGTTCATCTCAATGCCACAAACCAGGGCAACTGTCCAAAAAAGTCTCCACTGGGCCGTGGGCCTAGTTCCTCATTATAAACTAAAGCTATTGGTTTGAAGTTCCTTTGTGTCTGACAATGCACGATACTAGGATTCTTCCCTAAAAGAAGAGTACAGGCTAGTCAGCTGGTCTAGTGAGAGCTCTTCAAGTCAGAGGTTCAGATTCAGTTCTGACTCTAGTTGTCTCAGCTGGACTCAATCATACTATGTCCAGGTCCACCACTTGTCTGTCAGTTTGTCATACTGTCATGGCTTCTGTGTTGCTCTGATTCTATAAGCTATGCCACAGGTATTTTAAATATCAGCAGGGTCATCCATAGTGGGCAGATTTCAGCTGAGCCTTCAGATAAAGACAGACTGGGAAGAAAGACGTCTTTAGAATACTTAGTGAAAACCATACGAATCGCTGTGGAACACTGTCAGCACCAGAATACTGAATATTGAAACATGATGAAGAGCACCATAATACTGTCAGATATAGTGCCGGAAGATGAGCCCCTTCAGTCTGGAAGGCATTCAAAATATGACTGCGTAATGCTGCCTCCTTGAAGTAAAGTCTTCAGGACCTTCATATACTGAAGGGGTACAACTCAAATTGAAGAGAAACAGTTGTTTGTGAACATTCATTAATAATCAGAACATGGAATGTATGAAGTATTAATCTAGGAAAGTAGAAAATTGTCAAAAATGAAACGCATAAACATTAATATCCTAGGTACTGGTGAGGTAAAGTGGACTGGTATTGGCCATTTTGAATCTAACACTCACATGTTTTACTATGCCAGGAATGAAAAATTGAAAAGGAATGGCATCATATTCATCATCAAAAAGAACATTTCAAGATCTGTCTTGAAGTACAATGCTGTCTGTGATAGGATAATATCCATACATAGCGTTGTGGTTAAGAATCAGGCTGTGAACCGCAAGGTCAGCAGTTCGAAACTACCAGCAGTTCCATGGGAGAAAGATGAGGCTTTCTGCTCCCGCAAAGATTCACAGCCTCGGAAACCCTGTACAGGATCGCTATGAGTCGGAACCGACTCCACAACACATAACCACCACCACCACAAGGAAGACCAGTTAATACCACTGTTATTCAAATTTATCCAGCAACCACTAAAACCAGTAATGATGAAAATGAGGAATTCTACAAATTTCTTTGGAGTCCTGGTATGGCACCATGAGTTAGTGCACTGGATTGCAAAGTCCGTTTGAATCACAAAGTCAGCAGGTCAAGCTCACCAGTCACTCCTGGGAACCCCTATAAAGGGTCGGTATGGGTCGGAACTAAATTGATCTTGATCAAACATGCAATCAAGATGTATTGATAACTACTGGTGAATGGAATGCAAAGATTAGAAATAGGAAGGATTATTTGTTAGGAAATACAATCTTGATGACAGAAATAATACTGTTGATTGCATGATGGAATTTTACAAAACCAATGATTTGCTCCTTGCAAATATCATTTTAAACAACATAAAAGATGACTATACACATGGACCTCACCAGATGGAATACACAGAAATAAAATTGATTACATCTGTGGAAAGAGACAGATGAAAAGCTCTGTATCTTTAGTCAAAACAAGATCAGGGGCAGACTGTGCAACAGACCATCAATTGTTCATATGCAAACTCAGGTTGATGCTGAAGAAAATGAAAACAATTCCACAAGAGCCAAAATAGGATCTTAAATATATCCCACCTAAATGTAGAGCTCATCCAATGAACAAAATTTGAGGTATTAGCCACTAAAGACCAAAGATCAGAAGAGTTGATAAAGGTTGCACCTCAATGTAAAGAAGATAAAAATCCTCACCAATGGACCAATAAACATCTGTGTAAATGTAGAAAAGATTAAAGTTGTCAAAGACTTCATTTTGCTCAGATCAACCATCAACACTCATGAAAGCAGCAGTCACCAAATCAAAGGGCACGTTGCATTACGCAAATCTGCGGCACAAGAACTTTTTAAAGAGTCGAAGAGCGAGGATGTCAGTTTGAGGACTAAGGTGCGCCTGACCCAAGCCATGGTATTTTCAACAGCCTCATATGCATGTGAAAGCTGGGCAGTGAATAAGGAAGGCCGTAAAAGACTCGATGCATTTGAGTTATGGTTGTTGTTGTTGTTAGGTGCCATCAAGTTGGTACAGACTCATATCGACCTTATGCACAGCAGAACGAAACACTGCCTGATCCTGGGCCAATCTCACTACTGTTGCCACGCTTGAGCCCATTGATGCTGCCACTGTGCCAATCCATTTCGCTGGAGGTCTTCCTCATTTTCTCTGACCCTCCACCTTACCAAACATGATATCCTTCTCCAGTGACTGGTCCCTCCTGACAATATGTCTGAAGTATGAGAGATGAAGTTTGGCCATCCTGGCCTCTAAGGGGCACTCTGGCTGTACTTCTTCCAACACAGATCTGTTGGTTCTTTTGGTAGCCCATGACACTTTCAATATTCTCCTCCAATACCGTAACTCAAAAGCATCAAATGTTGGAAGTGCCATGGAGTGAAGACTTAAAGCCTTGGAAACTCTATACAGGGTCGCTATCGGAACCTGCATGATACAAGGCATTTAACAACAATAACATATGAGACAAAGTCTCACCGCGCTCTTCTGAGAAGCACTTCTGGCTGTGTTTTTTCCAAGAAAGTTATTAGTTCTTATGGCAGTTCATGGAAATTTCAATATTCTTCTTTCAGTAATCTTGATGGTGGTAGTGCCATGGAATCGGTTCTGACTCAGTGTCCCTGAGTAGGTTTTCCAAGCTATAAACCTTTATGGGAGCAGAAAGCCTCATCTTTTCTCCGGAGGAAAGGCTGGTAGTTTCGAACTGCTGACCTTGAGGTTAGCAGCACAACTCACAACCACTACTCTACCAGCTGGTGTTGTTAAGTGCTGTCGAGTTGGTTCTGACTTATAGCAACCCTGTATAGGGTTTCTTAGGAATGGCTGGTGAGCTTGAACTGCTGGCCTTATGGTTCAAACTGAACTTGCAGTTCAGCACATTAACCCACAGTGCCACACCAGGCCTCCACTACGCTATCAGAGCTCCCTGAAATTCAGTCTTCACTTGATGTACTATATGTACCCTGTGTATGTGAAGCTGGGAGCAAACACAATTCCAATGCAGCTCTGCCTCAATGCAAGCAGTTTTGAGACCAGAAGTGACGACAAACTCGGGAAAGGATGAGGAGGTGGGCACAGAGAGCCATGGGGTCCAGGACAGGTGGTGGGAGGGATGGGAAAAAGCTTTAAGGAAAGAGCTGACATGCACTGAGCATGTACTCTGAGCCAGCCACTGTTGTGTTTTTCATGCATTGTCTCTTTTGTACCTCGAAACGGCACCTATGCAGCCCTATTACTAACCCGACTTCACAAATGAGGGACCAGAGATATAACTGGGTTACATAACTACCCAGGATGATCAAGAAAGAAAGGGACGTGAGTTGGGTCTGTTAAAGATGAGGAAAGAATGAGCGTGAAACTTAAAAAGCAATGGGTTGAATAATCTAGCAAATAATTTAATAAGCATTTTGTTACATAAATGTAACTGAATGTGTACGCAAATAAAGGTGTGAATGTTAAATCAGGATTGGGGTTGTAGTGTCGTCAAGGAAGGCTTCATGGAGAAGGTGCTGGAGCTGAGTCTGAAAAGGTCAGAATAAGGTCTGAAGCTGTAGGGCTCTGTGACCCGACCTTCCCGGCCGGACCTCCTCCCTCCAAATAGCCAGGCTCTGGGAATTGCTAAGTTCAGGAGAACATTTTGCTCCCATGTACTATGTCATGGGTTATTTACTGTAATTTGCAGCCACAGGGCAAGGTCCACATCTCCATCCCTGATTTGTCAAGGCCTTTTCAAACTCCTGGCCTGCAGAGAGCACTCAGTGTGTTTGGAGCTCAACCTAGAGGAGCATAGCCATGGAGCTCTGGGGTCTGGTCCTGGGAGCCCTGCTGGTGGTCATCGTTGGGTACCTGTACGTGTCCAGGCTCTCCCGACAACGCAAGCCCCAGGAACCCCCTCTGGACAAAGGCCCTGTGCCCTGGCTGGGCCATGCCATAGCATTCCGGAAAAATATGGTTGAATTCCTGAAACACATGCAGGCCAAGCATGGGGATGTGTTTACTGTGCAGCTAGGTGGACAGTACTTCACCTTTGTAATGGACCCCTGCTCCTTTGGCCCAATCATCAAGGATACAAAGAGAAAACTGGACTTTGTGGAATATGCCAAAGAACTAGTGCTAAAAGTATTTGGATACGCACCACTACAGGGAGACTACCAGATGATCCACTCAGCCAGCACAAAGCACCTGATGGGGGCTGGCTTGGAGGAACTCAACGAGGCCATGCTGGACAGCCTGTCCTTATTAATGCTGGGGCTGAAGGGCCGGAGTCCGGATGCCAGTTGCTGGTGTGAGGATGGCCTCTTCCATTTCTGCTACAATATCTTGTTCAAAGCTGGCTACCTGACCTTGTTCGGCTATACAGAAGACAAGGAGCAGGACCTGCTACAGGCAGAGGAGATCTTTGTAGAGTTTCGTAAATTCGACATCCTGTTCCCCAGGTTTGTCTACTCCCTGCTAGGGCCCCGGGAATGGCTGGAAGTGGGCCGGCTCCAGCGTCTCTTCCATGAAGTGCTTTCTGTGAAACACAATCAGAAGAAGAATGGTATAAGCAACTGGATATCTGACATGCTTCAGTTTCTGAAGGAGGAAGAAGTAGCTCCAGCCATGCAGGACAAGTTCAACTTCATGATGCTCTGGGCCTCCCAGGGGAACACAGGGCCAGCCACTTTCTGGGTCATCTTTTTCCTCTTGAAGTACCCAGAAGCCATGCAGGCTGTGAAGGAGGAGGCCAGCAAGGTCCTGGGTAAGACCAAGTTGGAGGTTAACCAGGCCTTTAGCTGTGACCTCAGCGTCCTGAAATGCACCCCAGTGCTGGACAGCGTGATGGAGGAGTCACTGCGCCTGGGGGCTTCACCTACCCTCCTCAGGGTGGTAAAGAGTGACCAAAGCCTGAAGATGGCCAATGGGCAGCAGTACCTGCTCCGCAATGGAGACAAAGTGGCCATCTTCCCCTACCTCTCTGTGCAAATGGATCCTGACATCCATCCCGAGCCCACTGTCTTTAAGTATGATCGCTTTCTCAACCCCGATGGCACCCGAAAAGTGGACTTTTACAAGGAAGGCAAGAAGATTCATTACTACAACATGCCTTGGGGTGCAGGTGTCTCCATCTGCCCTGGGAGGTTCTTCGCCCTCAGTGAAATGAAGCTCTTCATCCTGCTCTTGGTCTCATACTTTGATCTGGAACTGGTGGACCCTGATACACCTGTGCCACCGATTAACCCCCAGCGCTGGGGTTTTGGCACCACACAACCCAGCCATGATGTGCGTTTCCGCTACCGCCTGCAGCCCACTGAGTGAGCTTGGCCAAGCCTGTCTCAAGGCTGGGCACTGAGTGTCCACCTCCTCCAGCTTGCCCCTCTATATCACCAGGCCTCACTGAGCACCCCTCCCTCTGGTTCTATGGCACCCCTGCTTCTGCTGTGCTTGTCCTCCTCTCTCTCTGACCCCCTTCTAATCATCTCATATGCTTGTCACTGTCCCTTTAAGATACCTTCTCTCAAGTGGGACCTACAGAATCCTCCTCTCACAGTATGTGTGTGGGGGGAGGGGGTACCTGTGGGCCAAGCCACTTGGCAGATGATGGCCACCTTTAGCAGTCCTGTGGTATAGAAAGCGATCGCAAGGAATGCTGCATTTCTCAGACATTAGCCTCTACCTCCCTCCTCTCTGCTTGTTTTCCCCCCATAAACGTATTGCACACTGAATGGAATTCATGCTCTACAGCAATATTATTCAATAGAAATAAAAGGCAACCCTTGTATCTAATTTTAAATTTCCTTGTAAATCTAAACTCACTACTGTCAAGTCTATTCCAACCCATGGAGACCCTGTAGGACAGAGTACAGCTGCCCCCTAGGGTTTCCAAGGCTATCAATGTTGAAGGAAGTTGATTACCTCATCTGTTTCCCATGGATCAGCTGGATAATGCTTAACCCATTGTGCCATCATGGCACCTAAATTTCCTAGCAGACACATTAAAAAAAAGTAAAGAGGCAGGTGAAAGAATTCATATTTATATTTTATTTAACCCAATCTATCTAAAATATTAGTATTTCGACATGTAAGCAACATAAAAAATATTAATGACCTAGTTTTACTCTTTCTTTCTTCATATTATCTTCAAACTCTGGCGTGTCCTCTATGCTTGCAGTGGTTTGCAGTTCAGATTAACACCATTCCCGGGGCTCCTTAGCCCTGTGTGGCTAGTGGCTACTGATTTGAAGAGCAGGTCTAGAGAGATGCTGCCTCTCATGAAGGTAGTATTCAAGATCCCTTTTCAGTGTCCTCATCCCTCGGCACTTCCACTTTAGCCCCTTCCTAGTTGAATCAACCGTTACTGAGCTCAAAACCTCTCTCCTAGCCCCAGACCTCCAATTTCTCCAGCTCCTCTAACTCAGTTTGGTACACACAGAACTTGACATCTGTTCCCCAAACTCATGCCTTGACACCCCCTTCTCTTGGTTTCCTCTGCTGGGGACGCTAACAGCCACCCCCACCCCCCAAGGGAAAGAACCAGGAGATACTGTCACCTTCCTCTCACCCACATACAGTCAGATCACCAGTCCTGTCAGCTCACCCCCTGAAATGTGCCCCCACCCCAACACACATGCCCCATGCCTGCTGCTATTCAGAGAGCTCCACATTTATATCCACAAGAGCTACTGATGGGCTGGCTCTCTGCACTGCCTATTGTTTTTGTTTTGTTTTGTTGTCAGAAAGTGCCTCTGACTTTCAGTCTTCTACCTTCCTGACTCCCTTTGCCACTACACACCTGACATTTAAGTTTCACCACGATTCAGCCGCCCCCCCCCCCAAATTCTCATTCCACTTCAACTCAACTTGGCCAACTCTTTTTTTTTCCTAATGGAACCATCCCTGAGGATGGAGTATTGCTTTTACTCACAACCGCCTGAAAGTTCCCTTGGATCTCCCCCTCTCATCTTCTGGTGGGAAATGGCCTCTGCTCCCGGTTCTTCCAGAGTTGTCTGTATCACACACAGCATGTTTGTTAAGTGTGCTACTTTCTGTGACCTGGTTCTCGCTCCCTGTCCCTGGCCCCAAACTGGAGTCCTCTAGGGTTTGGTATCTTATTCATTCATCCCTTCCCCCAAGAACCTAAGCTTAGATTCTAGAAATCTCTGCTTAACATACTTCGTGTTCTTGAATCATGTCCTGCCCCTCTCTGACCTCAGCTTGCTGACATGGAAAACAGAGACAATCCCTACTGCCAGGTAAGCTTCTCAGGGCCAGGAAGGGGAGGATGCTGAGCCCAGAGAGGTAGTGGACTGATGGCAGGGCCCTGGCTGCTCTGCAACAATAGGGAAATGAATGTGGGAGCTGGTGGAGGGTCCTGGAAGAGAAGGGAGGTCCAGGCAGCATGGAGCACTCACCAGGGAACACGCAGGGGCTTTGCTCTGACACCCCCAGCTCACATCTCTAAATGGCCTCCTCCTGGGACTGCCTGTTTGATACTGAATTATACCTGGATCATAGGTCACTGGAGCAGACAGGAGCTGAGCTGGGGGCAGGAGTGTGTCTCCACTAGTTCTGTGATCTTAGACCAGGTCTATCTGTCTCCAAATCTGTTGTTGTGAAGTGCCATCAAGTCAGTTCCCACTCATAGCAACCATGTATAGGGTTTCCAAGAAGTGCTTGATGGGTTTGAACTGCTTTGTGGCTAGCAGTTCAGTGCTTATCCTATAGCACCACACCAGGGCGCCTTTTTAGGACTAACTGCCACAAAATAATGATGTCTACCTGGAGTCAGAACCAACTCCGTGGCCCATCACCACCACCTGGAACTTTGACAGTCTGGGAGATGCCAGGAAAATCCACTCGATTCCAACAGGGGCTGGAAACACAAGGAGAGGGGGTGGGGAGGCACAGGAGGAGGACAATGTGACTGGGAGGCTGGGAGCCAGCCATGGGACACTGGTTAATGACCTCCCCACACAGTGGATGTGCCCAGTCTGGAAGTGGGGAAGCGGCTTGCAAGGGGAGGGGGCTCACCCACACTTCCTTGTCCCGGGCCAGCCTAGGTGCTGCAGCCTCTTCTTTTTCCACTCCTACCTCCTACCAAACCCTGCCGAGGAAATATGAACCAGCAACCTGGCCTGTGGACAGGCGGGGGCAAACCTGAGGGTCTGAGTCCAGAGTCTGACTAAGTCAGGGATAAGCCGGGGGCAGAGGGCAGCTGCAGTGGGACAGGTGGGAGATGAAGAGAGTCAGGGCCAAGAACGTCATCCACCATAACAAGCTGTCTGGGGAGCAGAGAGCACCGCAGCATTAGGAGAGCACAGGTGAGACCAACGCCCATCTGTTGGCAGGGTTGGGAGGTCACGGTCTCCAGCCTCTCTAAGCAGGTGCACCGTCATGGGGACTTTTGGATACACCCTCTACGCCAACAACCTCCTTTCTTGGCTGTGATCTGGAGGCTGAGGGTCTGGTCACTACTTTCCTGACCAGTAGTCTTACTCCCCAGTCTTCATTTCTGCTCCTAGTTTTATCACTACCATCTTCACTCCTGTCTTCAAAGCCTCAGAGCACAGCCCACTAAATGCGTTCTCTCTGAGAAAAGCTTACACCATAGCAAGCTCAGGAGTGACTCTCCAATTGTGGGATCTTAACCATCAGGGGGAAAAAGTCATCTATTTCTCATAGGGAATAACTGCTGGAATGCTCACCTCACTCTTCAGGGGGTTAAACAGCAAACCTGCTCACAGGCAAAGCCCCTCCTATAGTTCTTCAATCAGCTCTGGGGAAGGGTCCATCTTGACTCAGAGCCCTAAAGCCCATAGAAATCTGGGATCTTTGCTGAGTCCCTCTGGGCTAGCCTGAGCAGCGCAGACAGGGAGCCAGGCTGTCAAGCCTTTGGACAGACAGAGAGCAGCAGGAGGGACCAGGGTCCAGCTAGGAAGTATGGTTGGAAAGACAGCACTGTCTTGGTCCAAAAGGTGAGAAACCACCCCCAATGCATACCCTGCCCAGTGCCCAACTTGCTTTCTTATGAACAGCACTGGGGTCAAAGCCTTCCCTACGGTTAGCTACATCATATGTACCTTGGAGAGTGATAGGGTCCCATGGGCCACCTGTAAGCAGCCTTTCTCCCCTTCTTTGGGCACAGGCTTCAAAGCACTGATGATCAGACAGCTCTTTGCAGCAATCACACAGCAACATGTAACCACGGGCACATACTCACCCCACATAGACAGTGCCACATTCACATCAGCTCCACTATCCATAGTAACACAGACACAGGCATGCAGACTTCATACACGTACACACGTGCGTGCACGCACACACACACACACACACATCTAACAAGACTGCTGACAAGTCCTTCTGGTCTTGTTTGGCATCCCTTGCCCCAGTCCATCAGGGTCCAAGGGGCACAAAGGCAGGGACTCTAGGTATCTAGATCCTGCTGGGAAAGCTCAGGCTGTATCTCACTAGCTAACCTGGCCCACGGGAAGAACTGAAACAAATCTAGCAAGACAAATGGGGCAAGATGGGGCAGGTTGTGAGGTAGGGTAAGTAAAGAGTGCTGAAGACACTCTAGAAGAACGTCACCGTAGGCCAGCAGCTTTCTTGACGAAGGCGTTAAGAGTCCATGGGTAGGGAGGACCTGGGCCTTGGAGACATGAAAAGGAAAGCACCAAGGCAGAAATCCTAAGTTTGCAACTTACAAAAAATACAATTCTCAAACCAGAAAGGAATTTTTGAGTCCATGTAACTGACAAGTCTATTCTAGAACTGGGGTAAGCTTCAGATAGACCTTGATTCTGGGATCAATCACTGCTGCAGATCTGCTCACTCACTTGCGTACCCCTCTTCACATTCTCAAGTGCCAGTGGATGGAGAGCGTAGCTCCAGACCTCACATCTTCCCAGCCTCTCTGTGCTCTAGTACCCCAGCCAAAGCCCAATGCATTTCATTGGCTCTGCCAGAGCCATGTGCCTGTCCCAACCAGCCACCACTCAAAGCATAGGGCTGAGTGATGGAGTAGTTTCCCAGAGTAAATGGGAATCAGAAGATAAGGGCAAGGATGTTTGGCAGGATGCTTGGATTCAACTGTGACCATCTCCCCAAAAATCGTATTGGATTCCTAACCCCTAAATCTGTAGGTGTATCCAGTATTTTTGGAAATAGGATTTTATTGTTAATTTGTTATGGTAATGGGTTCTAATTCTAATAATTTCTAAGTTATAAAATAAACAGATTTGACACAGAGGAGGGAAATCAGACCCCATGAGACCATCCTCTACAAGTCAAGGACCAAAGAACGACCCACGACTACTGACACGGAAGGAGACTATGGTTTGGACTTTGGCCACCAGAACTGTGCTAAGATACATTTCTACTCTTTAAAGTCTTAGCAGTCCTAGGTACATTACGAGAGGTCCCCATTACATGAGCCAGCCGGCAAAGGAAAAACACAGAGATGGGAATGTGCAGGAAACAGCACATCCAGGATATGAATAGGGCCATGGGGGAAGGAGGATAAAGTAGAAGAGTAGAAGACCGGAGGTACTACCTGCTAAAGCCCTCGCCTTGAAGTCAGACAAAGATTTTGGACTTCATTGTGTAGGTCTCAGAGAACACCAATGTCTCTCTCTCACTCTTTTTTTTTTTTTTTAATTAAATGTTTCTATTTTGCATTGAGTGAAAGTTTACAGGGCACATCATCAGCTTCACATTCAACCATTCATATAGCTTGTTTCATTACATTGATTATTATCCCCACTATATATCATCAGTTTACAGTGTTTCTCTCTATCCTCTTTAGCTTTTTTTCTTTTTTGGATGGGGGGGGGACTTGGCTTATTGGAATTTACAGTTTCGGCTTTTAGGGGAGGTTTTTACATTTGTCTGTGGATATCCAGGG